AGGGGGGGGATCAGGAGAGAACGTAGGGCCCACTTCGCAGGGCCTGTGCCTGGTGTTCACAATATGAGTGTGAGAAAGAAGTGGAAGAATATGGAAAGGAGGAAAAAGGAAAAAATGCGCAAGAGAAAGAGAGACGGAGGAAGGGAAGGAAAAAGAGGGCCCCTTCTGTAGACCTCTGTTTCTATCCTTGCCTGCAGCATTGCAGAAACTCGAAAGCCGAGCCACACGAAAAATACCCTCCTAGCTAGGTTCGGCCCGAGCAGTTTTGCTCCTCACAAGAAGTAAAACTGGCTCCCTTTTCAGGCCGTTACCGAGCCTTGAATGGAGGTCAGGGTCCCTTCTCTCCTTGCCCTTTTCTTTTTCTTCAAGGTACCCACCTTTCCGCATCCTTCTTCTTTTGGCACTACACCAGTGGTGCCTGTTTCTGTTCTTGTTCCCGGCAGGCTCGCCGGTTTTTCCCGGTGTACGGGGGTCCCGCTTCCGCGCAGAAGGGGATTTTTATCTGTTCTCTTTATATGCACGAAGGAATTATCGATTCAAGGGAATTGAGAGAAGAGGGTAGAACAGTACTTGGAGTATCGGGATAAGAAGGGGAGAAACAGTTTACTTTAGTCTTTCTCTCACTGTCGTGCAATGTAGGATACATGAAATCTTTTTTATATGAACGTAAATCCTTGTATGCCTGTGCACGTATGTTTATGCATTTCACGAAGATCATGCGGGGCGATGCGATTCGTTGGAGGGTCGTCCATCACGGGTATCGAATTCTAAACGCGTACTTTCTGCTTTTCCCTTGTTCATATCGCGCCCCGTTTCAGGATGTTTCAGTCTTCTCGTCGAATTTTATTGATTTTGCTTCTCTTCGGTTGCAATAAAATTGTATTTCATGCATTTTATAATTTTAACCATGTATATCCAATTTTATCAATTTCTCTCAAGTCTTAGCATAATAGTTATTATTATATATGTATCTTTGATGCTATTTTTATTCGTTTATATTTTTAAAAAGAATTTCATTATTAAATATTTCTGGAGTATCATGTCTAGAAAGCCAAATATGTTCGCAAATGCAAAGAAAATTTATCGCTTTTCGTGTTTTAGTTGTGAAAATTACGTCAGAGATAACAGTAACTGATACTTAATAATTAATGACAGTAATACTTTGCATAAACGTACAGTAGTTATCTTTTCATCTTAGAAAAAATTCTCCTTTTTTACAGCGCATAAAAAATAATTACTCTCTCAATGAATACTAAATTCTAATAAAAAATATTTTTTAAGGAAAGGGAAGGAAATTTATAATACACTTTCTTTATGTCATAATATGCTTTTTTTTAAGAGTAGTGTAGATTATATTAAAAGAAGAATGTTTATCGAATTAGAACGTCCTACTGAGAGAATTAGTACTTAATAAAAATTTGAATTTCTTTTCAATTCTAGATAACCAGATCGTCAATCGTCTAAATGGTGTTAAGCCTGTGACGTAATTAGCGTTGACCAAAGTATCACAGAAGGTGTCAAAATTGAGCAAGTCGTCCTCCCGTCCGGCGGTGATCTCGCCAAAATTTGGAGGATGTTGATGCCTGGTGCCGCTGGTCTCAGTGCCGTCGGTGCGGTTGGCGCTGTTGGGGCGCCAGGGCCGGACGAACTAGTCTCGGGCCTTGGTGCGTTAGCTGGTACTACGCCTCAACAAAAAGATACTACTTGGACAAAACTTTTTGTCGGAGGTTTACCCTACCACACAACTGACAAAAGTCTCAGGGAACATTTCAACGTATATGGTGATATCGAGGAAGCCGTGGTCATTACCGATAGGCAGACTGGAAAAAGTAGAGGCTATGGTTTCGTAAGTATCGTAAACAACACATTCTATTTATTCGATATGTTTTTACTTTTCCTGATTCATAGCTGTTGTTGTGAAATGTTTTGACTTTGTGAATAGTTTAGAGTGAGTAGCTTATGTATATTTTTATTTGTACCATTGTTAGTAATATCAAAGGTATATATGTACTAAATCTTGACGATCACAAATCTTAACAATTTTGTAGCATAAGGTTTTACAATTAAAAAATGGAGCTACGAGGAACGATAGAATTTAATTTTTAGTTATTTATAATCAAAATGATTTTGTTTGAAAAATTGTTATTTTAACATGTTGTTTTGTATGATTTGATGTCATTCCCATGTAGGCATTATTTTTGCAGTAATTTTTGTTTTCAATAATTTTATCCCCATAGGATTATATATTTTTACGAACTTTCATTTAAAATATAAACTCGAAAAGATTCTTCAACCGCCGTTGACTGTTAGAATAAACATGTTAAGTGCATAAAGATAATAGTATAATTTGTTACGATAACGTAACCAGTTTGTTCACTCATATTCAAAAAGACTTGTTTTGTTAATTTTCTGTATACCGTGATGTTCTTTCTTCCGTAAAGGTATATACGTGTAGGTGTACTTCATTACCAGTTTCCCTTCCTATCAAATATACATTGCTTATACAAAGGATAATATGGAAATCTACGAGTCAACGTCCTTATTACCCTTATTGCCCTTATTGCTCTTATTGTCGAAAGGAAATTCTGTTAAAAATATTCGTTATTACCTGTAGTAGTGCTTACACTATCACTGGAAAACTAGTTGGCGATCATTATTACAGTGATTCCAGTAACATTCCATAATATCTTAGACATTTTTTTTTTTCATTAATTTACTCACTCATTTTATTCATACAGTATTCTTGTACTGTATCTATGAATTCCGTAACCATCTATACTTTGTTCGATCCGTTTATTATAAAATATAAAGTTTGTCTTAAATGTTCTTCATTCGTTTATCTATAAGTTAAAGAAGTTTCGTTTATTTTGAAATTAAATATTTTTAATATCAAGCTACAAATAAAAGCGTAATGAAGAAAATAGAACACGTTCCATGCCATACATACATGAAATAGTAGTTTCCGCAGGAAGTTTCGAACAAAGTTTAAAAATAATCAAAGAAATATGTTTGAACGTAAAGTTGATTGTTTCTTAAGCTTCTTTTACACAGTTTACCAATATTAGTTTAGAAACCAGGTTTTCGCTAATGAACCGAATAATTATTGTATATAACAATAGAGGCTTATATTGAAAAATTGATATCGATTTTTAGAACAACTAACAGAATAGATTATCTGAAACGTCGTTGAAATATCCGGGTACTACATGTATGGTACATACACGGCTTGTATCGTTGCTTATGAGGGAGAGGCGTGCAAGATCCAGGTGAAGCGGAAGGATTAGTCGAATAATCGATCGGATCTGTACGCAGGTGATCATGGGAGACAGGCCAGCAGCAGAGAGGGCGTGCAAAGACCCTAACCCTATAATCGACGGTCGCAAAGCAAACGTCAACCTGGCAATTCTAGGAGCTAAGCCCAGGGGTAATCTACAAGCGAGTAAGTTTGTTCAGCAGTATGCAAATGCTTATTCAATGAACATGAATTGTGCGAAATATTTGGGACAAACTCGACAATTGCTGGTGTTTGGTCTCTTGTCGCTTAAACTTTTTTATTTTGACTGGTGCCTAGGTGTTAACTCTTCGGTTAAATTTACTTTAAATTATTGCTTTGGTATTCTAGTATTTCTTATTTTTACTTATCAATGGATATAAAAAGAGTTCGAATTGTCTCGAACCGTTTAACAAAATATTATAAAAGATATCTTTTTACACACAAGGTGAGCCAAGGAATAACACCTGAAATAATTCGTTATCTATTGACTTTATGAAATAAAATTTATTGTTTCGAAGGGATTTATCGCATGAATACATTTTGATTTCCTTGATGTTTTATATCTTTTGAGTTTTTTTAAGATTGACTTTATGTATACATATATATTTTTTTTTTTGGTATTGCGTTGCTTACTTTAAATCTAAGGTCCAAAATAATGTAAATACTGGAGGTAGCTTCTTTTAGTCGTTGGTGGTCAAATAACGTTATCACAGATACAGTCAAACGTAAGAAAACACGCGTTTCAAATATCAAAATACTAATTTGTGTCTATCTTCAAGCCGATACAGAGCTTGCTCGACGCGGGATGCAGTTACGCACCAAAAATTTTCGTTTCCTTTTGAGGTTCAAGGCCAAATGAATTGATCTTCCTAGCGGCTACAACAGAGTATAAAGAAACCGATATTATCTAAAAAATTCAAAGTCACCTTGATATCTCACAAAATATAAGGCGTCAAAAAACGAAAATGTTTTTATCCGATCAGTCGCCTCGAATACAATAAATTGCAAACATTTTTGCATTAAATAAATAGATAACGAGTTATTTCAAGTGTTAGATCTTATTGACTTATTCTGTATTTAAAAATACAGGGTGGTTGGTAACTGGTGGTACAAGCGGAAAGGGGGTACGCGAAATTTTCTTTTTTAATTTTTTTTTTTTTAATTTTTCCATCGAGACAACGATCTACAGTAAGATCCGTTATAGCGTACCGCACGCGTACCGAGCGAAAATTCAAAGTCGATTTTCTCGAAAACAAAGCCTCAAACGAAAAATTGTTGTTCTATATTTTTGACTTCTTTTTTCACGTAGAATGACCCCCTTTCCGCTTGCACCACCAGTTACCAACCACCCTGTATACATATATTAACAAATATTCTTCGTTTCACATTAATGTTAATATTTGATAAAATTTTGGAATATGATTCGTTTGTATTACCAACGAATTAATTTCAAATTTTTGGCAAATTATCCATAATTCGTAGAATTATACAGAGAATGCAATTCCAAAACCTTGTCCCGAGACATTGATAAATTTACCGGAATAGATATCATTTGTAATCTTTCAGATGATTTTTGTGCGTCATTGTCACGGGTTTTACGTTGTTGAAACATAGCCAAATCGGCAAATCCCATTCGGTAGAGCAACAGATAATATATACGTACTTCTTGGCCGAAGAGTTACACTTCTGCTTGATATATCGAGGACATGTGTTCAAGTTACTCGGAAATTCATCACAAAGGTTCTCTTAATGAGATATTTCATTTGGATACCAATCAGGAAATTTAGAATTTCTACCTTATGGGAAAAGTAAAAGATGTATACATAATTAGAATTTCTAATCTTATTCAAATTTAAACTTCCTGGAAAATAACGACCCTGCCACTTTTGTAACTATTTAAGTTCACTGCTTTTAAATTTGAGAAGTTGAAGCAACAACGAAAGGGCAAAAGACAGCATTACGAACGACATTTGTGCAAATCGAAAAGCGTCCCTCGAATTACTTTCTTGAACTCTAGTCGTGGCTCCGGGCCAAGATAGCTTGGCGCTTCGGCACCTAAGTCTAAAATTGCTTTAACCCGACTGCCGGTTCTACTTTTGTTTCTTGTTTCTTTCAACGTACAAGAATCATTTTTGTCTTGAAGTTAGTCTGTGATGCTTTTAATATTTTAATATTAAAGTATGCCTTCCCAAAGAATTTACCAATTTTGTATCAAATTCAATATAATTAATATTATCATTTAAATTAAATTTATATTTTATATTCAAAGTGCAAGTAATCACCGATCGTATTCTACGCTATGATATTTGACTTTTAAAGTACATTTTTATAAGATGCCTCGTATATTAAAAAAATATAAGTCTAAGTATTTGTAAGCAACATTGAAGCATGACAAGTATATGTCATCACAATATATGAAACATTTCTTTTAGTTTGCTTAGTTGCATTGATTTATCGATATCAATTTCTTTAGTAAGTGTATGTTTTTTTCTGAGATACTCTGCTTTTTTTTGTATCGTATTTTACTATATATGTATAGAGCTACATATGTGTATCTATAATGATTTTGAATTGTATTATGTATGATAATCTATTCTTCGACAGAAAGCATGTCATTACCATAATCAGAATATAAATGTATCCAAAATGAATGCTATGTTATGCATATTATCCATACGCGTAAACTTTTAATGCAGCTACATACTTCATACTTATTTCATCACAAAAGAAGTCACAAAGTTTTGTGTCGGAAACGAACAAGTTTCAACGAACAAACGAACAATATTTAAAATCAACTTGTTTATTATCTGTAACTTTATATTTACAATATTTATTCAATAAAAAGAAAATAGTGGAGTTGAAACGTATTATATCTTACAAGTTCATTTTATCTAAAATAAATGAAAAATTTTAATATTTCGACTAAGATTTTTAATATACCGCAGTTTAATTTAATTTAAATTTAAAAAATTAATCCTGAAGTTTTATTCTATATAGTACACATTTTGTAATTTTTCATATTATGTCCATATATACGAAGTACAATGTGTATTTTTATACTTTATACTAACTATACCTATTATTAAAGTTTACTAAAGTATTATTAAACAAAGTATTATTAAGTTTAACTCATGAAAGCGGTAAGAAAAATGTTTCACGATAATTATTTCTACATATCACAAATATTATAGCAAAAATGAGAAAAATGTTAATAAATTTTTTATTCTTTATCTCTCTATCCTCTCTGAAATCGGAAATCTATTCTTGAAAAAAGAATATACACGTATCTTAATATATCTGTTGTCGCATATACTGTTTTACGGGCACCGGTAAATAATATTCTCGTTTAGACTAGGTGGAAAGAAATATGTAGAGATATTTGCAAAGAACAGGATGTTCGATTTACACGAAGACGGGTGCTCGAGTTCAGGGCTGGCCATTAGAAACGTAAATAGGATTAACTCCGAACTGTTTATGATTTCAGCATTCCCGTTCGCTGCTGGCATTCGAGCTGGATACCCCGCAGTTCTTCCTGGCCAATATGGGTGAGTCTATGTTGATGTGATTTGTCGAAAAATATTAAGAATATACATGTTGTAATTGTAGTCATTGAAAAATAGCATAAGTCAAGAGGAGTCCTCGCTAGCATTCTCATTATTGAAATTGAATTGTAAAGTTGCATCGTTTATACATAATCTAACATGAACGTATCGAGATAAAAACGATGCACCAACGATCTTTCGGTTTTGAATAGTTAAGGTAGTATTTTTTTTTACGACATACCGATTATACTTTTCAAATGGCTTTTTTAACAATGTGCAATAATTGACGTATTTTGCTACAAAATTAAGGGAAAGACACATTAGAATAATTTTTCTCTGATTTTTTGGTACTAATTTTGTTTACTACATACAACGAAAGAAGGGAACAATTTTAGGGAACTGAGAAATCGTACAAGGTCGGTAGAAAAAGCAAAAAAAAAAAAAAAGAAAATACTCGAAAATCGAGAACGAAGGTACTCGCTTGACGGTTTCAGTTTGATAATGTTATGAATATTTTGTTAAAGATAGACTATATATAACGTTTCAGCATCCTGACGCTTGCGCGTAAGGGAGCAAGACGAGAATTCCCTTTTCGAGATCCTTGAGAGCGCCATGGCCGTTCTAAGGAGCGCAAATATAAAAAAATGTAAAGAGAGATGAATGGAAAGAGTCAGAGAGACATGAAACGAAAAATATATGAAAAGAGAAACAGAAAGAAGGGGCAGAGATATTTGCAATCGATGAAAAAGAAAGGGAGGGAGAGAGAAAGAACGCGGCACACGCACACGTATCAGAAGCCATGAGTACCCACGAATTTATTTCTACAAAATCAAAGACTTCCGAGGATCGGCCTCTTCTTCTTCTACTACTGTATTTTTTTGGTTGTGTTTTTTGTTTCTTCTTTCTTGATGAGGTTGACGTGAAGTGATATGATAATGATTGCGGTTGCTGAGAGATTTGTTTGTTTATTGGTTTTGACTTTTTTGGTCTTTACTCTTTTACACTCTTTTTCTTAATCAACATAATCATAATAATCGTAATAATATTAATATTAATATTAATTACAATAATTATAATGTTATGTATAATTATGATCTTAATAGGAATTTGTCTAATTAATTCGCAATAATATATGTTAATTTAGTGAACAAGATAACAGTGAGGCAACGTAGTATGTTTTCCATTAAAATCCAAATTCTGTAACACAAACAGACGTATAATTTGCTATTAAATGTTGCAAAGTCGAACACCGATGGCGACATTTATTATCAAATATCAAAACATTTTATTTCACTTAATTAGTTTACTTAAAGTTTTGTTATGTTTCGTATAGGTTCTTTACCACTTCGGCTTTTTTTTATATTAAGTGTGTTTCATATGGAGTATCTTGTTCTTTTTTCCTAAATTTCAAATTTTTTGTCGCGTGCATTGTTTTCACGTATTTGTTCATTTTTTTTTTTTTTATTATTTTGGTCTGTTTTTGGTGACGGGTCTTCTTCAATTTTAAAAGATTGGAATTTTACTATAATCGTGATAACTCGTTTTTCTGAATATAGTATAATATCGTTTACGATTGTAAGTATTTATCTTTTCGGATTGAAACTAGTATAGGATATCATTCGCGAAGTTTCGACTATTTTTATGAATTTCAATTTGTTGAATGATCTTTTGCGGAAAACCGTCACGTAAAACGCTTGCTTTGTGAATTATTTATTTGATTATTGAAAAAAGGAGAAGAAAATAGCTGGAGGAGATTAACCGTGTGCAGCAGAATTTCGTTGAATTATGAACGATACGGTCGATTCTTCGAAGCGGTGGATCTCCCGTATTTTTCACCGGAAATCGACCCGCACCGCCGCGAAACACGACAACGTTCATTAATTTTTCATCGTGGCAATCGATTTTATCGCGGTTTACCCCGTTTGGCCCAGTCAGATTCTTGGGCGCAGCATAGAAATTCGTGGAGATATCGAACGGTATCGAAAGGTAGAATCGCTACGAAGAGAAAAAAGAACCAGAAATACATTCGTTCCTGTTTTACTAACAAAAATTGTCGTAACGTTTCTCAATATCGTTATCTCCCGTATTATAAATTTCGAGTAAATACCGGCGTTTTTAAATATCTTAATTCTAAGGGAAAAAAGAAAATATTTACTAACGCATTACCATTTGATGTATGAACGAATTTTGTTCAAATGAAACGGAGATTCGTCAAGTGTACAGGCTCCGCTAACCATTATAATATTAATAACCTTGTGTGTGTGGTTAAGGCTTACACTACACTTGGTGTCGCTATTGGTGTTGTATTTTTTGGTGTTGTACGTGGTGGTTTTTGGACTTTAATATAACACGGTGTACCGTCTGTCATTAGAAAATTGAAGAAAACAAGCCTGGAAATCGAAGTATTCCTTGTAACTTGTTTTTACAGGGACATAAATATTTTATGCCATGACAATGCAATATCAAAATTATGTACTGGCAATTAGCAAAGCTGAAATGCAAAATGCCAGTAAATATTTCTTTCTTTGAAACGAGCTATCAAACGAATGTTCTTATTCGAATCGAAAGACAACGGGAGGCGCCCTGACTTGTGTTACATTACGTTTCACAGTGAAATTGAACGTGAAAATAATTACATTTTATGTGATCTAGTAAGTCCAAAAGAAATTTACGTGTAAAATGTTCGGTAGATAATGGGTACAAAAATTACAATAATTTTACATTCAATTTTTATTTATGATAGGACAACGATGCAAACTATCTTTTTTTAAACTGATTGGGAAGAAATTGATACTTTAAATCACGTAACTAACTTATACATATATGATAATTTGTTAAAACGTCGTAGATAAAGTCGTAGTGGCTTAGTAAAAATAACTTTCATGTTTTTATTTTATAATTTCTGAATAATATTAAAATTATTGCCCGTCGTCATTTACTCCAAAATTGCAAAACAAAAATATCTTTCTATTTATAGTAAAAGGATTAGAATGAGAGAATTTTGCCAATATAAAATATCATCAAATATTAAATACGCAAATTCAATATATATCTCGATTATTAATATGAAAGAAGATTGGCAAGAATATCATTTACATCGAACGCATAATCGTAGATCCGTGTTGCGAAGCACATGTCCTCAAATTAGCGGAACGTAGGTGGAAAAGTGAAATCCAACACCGACCAGAAGATGTGTTGTACGTCAGAGAGGATTTTCTCGGTGCTAGTAAATTCGTAGTGTCGTAAGCTTTCACAACGGTCCGTCGCGCCGTCGACGACTACGACAACGACGACGACGATGACGACGACCACGACGATGACACGCCTCGCATCTCGCTTCAGCCATCTTGGAGATTCTGGCGTTGGTCCAATCTTTATTTAGATCCACCTGTCCCCCGTGTCAGCTTCTATGTTTGAGCCATTCCGTCGAGGGTTTCTACGGGAGAATTTTTAACACGAATTAAAACTGTTCTTTCTCTGTGAACGGAATTACAAAGAGCCGTGCCATAATGAAAATTTCTATTTCTATTGGGGTTGGTCGTTCTCCTTTATATCAGTAAATTCCTCTTTCGGAGGAAGGATCCGTTTTAGTGTTCGTATTATTAGATGAGACAATTGTTATAATCGCGAGTCTTTATGACTTTTTAATTTTTGATTGATTAGAAGCGTTTCAATAAAATAGACTCATAAATTATTCTTTAATTTACATCGTGAGGATTATTTTTCCTCGATTTTAATATTTAATATAATTTATAAATAATTGAGGTAGTACTGCTAATATTACGTGTATTCTAATATAATACACGTTATATTATTGATATAAAATATACTGTAGGTCGCAATTGCAAAACTAATTTAAGATGAACTACTTCATATACATAAGTATAATTGTTAATGATAAATATAGAGCTTTTGCTTCGAATTAATTAAATTCTTCATATAACGTGCTTTTATCTGTTAGACATTTCGACAAAAATTAGTACCGAATACGAAACTGAAACGTACGCAATAATCATATTTTGTTGGAATCCATCCATTGCAAAGCTAGATGAGTGATGTTAATATATTCATCAGAGTTAGCCGTGAATTTGTCGTAGTTGAAGTATTGCTTTTAGAAAAGAGGTTCATAGTCGGCGCTCCGTATGGAATGTCTGTTTCTATTTTCATTGTCGATGCTTCTATCCACCTGTCGCTGTCACTCATTCGGCGAGTCTTATACACTCCTACTGCAGATAAACATTCTAGTTTCTGGCGCTTAATTTTGCAGTGGTAAAATCAAGTATTCCAAATAACCGTAAAATGAGTCCTCCTGAATGTCGTGTTTCAAGTTACGTTTTACGAGATCATAATTTTTTGCACGTTCGAAGCGCAGTTTATTACCTTAATATCTCAAGGACGACCATGAATAATCAGTTTTTCAACACATAATGATACATGTACTGAAAGATAAATTTATATTTTCGCTGCTAGGTTGCCGCCTTTTCTTTTACGTAATTCCTTTAACAGTTAGTCATTTAACATGTAGGTACTGGAAAAAAGCTATTCCAATAAATTACTGTACTTTGCATCGAAATGTTTATATATCTTGGTTAATTCTCAGATCTCTATTTCCGTGAGCTGTGTTCCAGAAATCTTCGTACGAATCTACTTTAATAACATTTTTCGAAGTTCGCGTTCACCTTCATTTATTTACTTTTCGTCGATGCTCTACTTTCTTCGACCTTGGGTTCCCACATTTCCACGTCCAAGTTATTCTAATCGGACTGGTAGTTTGAATAGTAGTAGAAGAACGTGCTATCAAAAAAACAATTAAGTTGTGGAAGAACCACCCTCGAACTCACCATTGGTCTGTTCTGCTTCCCAAGGATTGGCAGATCATCCTATTGGATTATCCACGGCGCCGGCGCTCATACAATTTGTGCACTGCGCATTGACTCTACAAGTATACACACGCGTACACATACAAACTGATACGCATACATCGCAGAGCTGACGATTAAACA